TTGGCTAGGGGACTCCCAGCGGCCGGCGGAATCATCGCTGGCCCAGGTCCAAGCGGAGAACTGCGATCTCGATTGTTGATCGATATCGGGCCACCACCTGAAGGAGACGGATCCATCGGATGATGCGGCGTATGATATATCTGTGGACCGGGTACTCTCATTCTCATCGGTGGGGTTCCCGATCGCACAGCCGCGAAGTGAGGCGGCATTGATGATTGACCTGCTTGTCTATATGGCGAAGGGATTCTTCCGCGTGGCTGCATCTCGTAACCCGTCCTGGGTCCGCCGATTATCTGACCACCTCCGGCGTTTGGTCCTCCGAAATATTTGTGGCCCATCGCTGCAGCTGCAGCAGAAAACGATTGTGGACTACTCGATACAGGTTGAGATTGAAGCATTCTGGTGATAACGGAAGACTGTTGATTGGGTGGTAATGATGGATAAACAGGCTGTGTGGTCGGGGTTTGCGAGGCAGGTGGTCCTTGTGTTGTTACGACGCCAGCAGGTGGTGTGGACGGAGCCGAACCAGAGGTGCTACTACCTGGTGTAGGAAGTATATTCGGAATTTCACCAGGTTTTATCTCCGGATTCGAGTCAGTTCCCATGCTAAGTAGACCGACTTCAACAGCGGCTTTCGCCGCTGCTTCTGCGGCCCTAGCCGCTTCTAATGCCAAAGTCTTTTTACCTTTGCCGCGTCCTCTTCGTTTAGGCTTTAACGGTGACCCGTCGGGATTAAACAGTTGCCCATCTGGTCCTGTCATCACGGGGATAGGTCCTTCGCTCGGTCTGTCCGCATCGGGCGTCATGATCGTGGGGTTAATGCTGAGATTAGGTGATATATTGGTATGTGGCACGGTGCTAGGTAAACCGGTGGCGTTCAAATCTGGAGCCCCGTCTCTGCGCATTTGTTCCGCGAGGATTTCGGCCTTGCTGCGACGACCTCTTTTCTTTTTCTTTGGTACCTCACCGTCGGTTCCCTCCGGTGCGTTTGGATCTCGTTGCCTTTCAGCTGCCAGTATTTCTAACGCTTTCAACCGTGCTTTCTCCATTTTCTTAGCTTCTCGCTCCTCTTTCTTCTTCTTTTTCGCTATCTCGATGGCGGCGAGTTCCAACTGTCGCCTACCGTATTCCTCGTCTTCCATCATCATTTGTTCTAATTGTTCATCGTCCAGATCCGCCAATTCACCCGGTCCAAGCCCCGTTAGAGAACCTTCTGGAACATCTCCGGTGAAGGAACCTGCTACCGACATGGCAGTACCGGTTAAACCTACGTTTTCTGAAAGATTGTCGTCGATCTTTGAGTCTATCTCTCCCATAGGATTGTCAATGTTAGCCATGATATCCTTGTCGTCGTCTTGATCGTCTTTCCTCTGAATCAAGGAACCCATTAAAAAATTTTGTTTGCGCGATCTATTACTTTTACTTCCGGGCTTTGGACCAGGTTTTTTTCTCTGTTTCGGTGTACCGTCGCTCATCATTTTTCTTTTGACTCCGGGACTTTTGCTCTTCCTCGGTTTTCTACTTTTCGGTGATTTGTTTTTCACCTTGTGGCCATCCTTTTTTGGATTATAAATATCACCTGCAAAACAACGACGTGTTAATGACCGATATTCGACTTGGATATGTTCTTTTGAAATTACCTGAATCTGAATCTTTTTCAGCGTCCTCGATTACGTCTTCGCCGTCGTTCATCACGAACTCGTCTTCGCTCTCTCCGGTTCTCCTTAACGCCTTTTTTAATTCCTGTAATATTACAAAACATTTTTTATGTTTTCGAATTTTTGTACTTTACTTAAGGTGGCTGACAATCAAGATCAAGAGTTGGGGCATTGGTAAATATATAAAGGAAGTAATCTTACAAAGAGAGGTCACAGCTGTGCTCCAAATTCCCAAATTTCTGAAGTTCTAAATTTGAAAATTTGTGAATTAAACAATTTCTTAATTGGAAAATGTATAAATCTAGAGATTAGTCAATCAGAAACTAACAAATAGCAGGACTTTTTTCCCTACATAGTTATTTTCCCTAGAGAAGTACTATATTCTGCAGCGAAATTTCACTGATATTATTATTAGTTACATCCAGTTAGATTTTCAAGAAATTTCATAGTGCATGTTTGTGACACAATCAATCATCTCGATATTTCATTTCGTACCTCTTCACTATCCGACGCTATTTCTTCCTGGTAGTTCATTTTCCTTCCTCGAGTTCGCCTACCTAATGTTTCTTCTTCTTCCGGCTTATTTTCATCTGGAAGGCCACCATATATAATCTGAAAATGTTATTAAATTTATAAAACCAAACTTTTGCACCAAATAAAAAAAAAATCGAATGAAATTTATATACCTTTCTTCGAATTGGAGTCTTTTTTACCTTCTCCTGTAATGAATTTAAAAAAATGTTTAAAAAAAATATACATAAAAATTTCGTCTTAATATAATAGATGTAAACTTACTTTCTTCTTTTTTTGTGGAAGTGGTTCTTGTAACGATAGATCGGTAGACATATCAGCTACATCTGCCTTTATTTCTTGCAGCTTGTCATCTTTTATCTCATTAACATCCTTGTTCTCGTTATTTTCAGTTTCGTTGTCAAGTTTTACATTCAGCGTATCAACCGTTTCGGATTCATTATTTTCTACCTCCGGTTGTACTTCGCTGGGAGTCTCGATTTTCTGCTCATCGTTCGATTCTTCGTTGTCGCTTTGATTATCAGATTCAATGATACGTTTTCTCTTTTTTTTCTTCCTACTTTTCGTTTTTGACGACGATTTATATCTAGACGTCGATATGGTTCTACTTCTAAAACGAAATTATATAATAATACTATACAAAATTTAATTAAATCACATAATAACGAGGATGCCTTACTTTTTCCTCCTTTGTCGCCATGAGTTATCGCTATCCTCGTTTTCCGAGTCCCATATAGATCGAGATTTCTTTCTTTTCGGTCTATCGCTTTCTTCGCTGTCGTCATTTACTGTAAAAACATTGGCTTTTAGTAATATTACTTAATAATAAAATCAAATTGAAAATGTATTTATTGTACTCACTAAAGTCTTCATCAAAGCGCGTAGTTCTGACCCTCGTGCTTCTCCGTACTGATCGTGAATCTCCTCTTCTATTTCGCCGTCTTACATCGGCGAAAGAGCTGTCATCGGAAGACGTCATATGATCATCGAAATCTTCTTCCTCTTCAGAACTGGTGCCTTTAAAGTCTTCGTCGCTTTCTGGATCGTCTTCGCTACTTATATCGAGACTATTTAATTTACGGTGTTTTTTACGCGACAAGAATTTCTTTACTGCTCCTTTATGTTGCTGCGATTCTTGGTGCTGCTCCTCCTCTTCCTCGTCAAGACCATCCTCTGCATCGATTTTAAATTCTTCGTCGCTATCTTTTTCTGACTTTCTTTCGATGTCTTCTTTGTTTGCAGGCATTTCGTCCATGTTTAATATTTCGTTCTTAAATTCAAGCTGGATATAAATTTTCGTTAGAAAACCTTTTATTAGAAACACGATGAAATTTAATTAAAATGTAAATAAATAAATTTACCTCTGCTTCTTCTTTCTTTGCGTTAACTATAGTCGCGATGTCTTTTCCTCTACCTTGATTTCCGGCTCCTTGAACCGCTTCTACCTCGTCTTGGATAGCGGCATTAATCATGGCATCGTAGTCGTTGAATTTGTATCTGTTAGCGCATCGCCTTTCACGTAATTGGTATACGGGTTCACTTTCTTCGCTGCTAGATGTTTCTGTACTCGAAGTAGACGAAGAAGTCGTAGATTCTACAAAGAGAAACACGAAGTGATATCATAACAACTGTACAACTTTTTACATGCGTTAAGAAATGAAATATTACGAGAAGTATCCAATTACCATTATCCGATTCCTGGCTAGACGTTTTCGATTCTTTTTGATGACGCGGTTCATTTTTGTGGAGAACATTATCCAAACTTATACCGACAAATGCTAATCTCTTCTTTCTTAAAACTTCGTTTTCGTGTCTCTTCGTTAACTGATCGTACGTTTTCAAATTTTCTCGTAATTTAACAACTAGTAAATTCTAAAATGAGATATTCATTGTAGAAATATAAAATTTATGATAAGTAATTTTCTCGAGTGATTAACAAACTTACGTGTTGACACGGAGGACAGAACCAATCACCCTCAGGTATTAGCATAAGGGCTGGTCTGAGGCAAGAACAATGCCAGCCTTTATCACACGAATCGCACAAAAGTATCCACTCTGGATGATCCGCTTTGCCGCATTTTTGGCAAGCGTACTCATCGTCCGCTTCTTCCACGTCGCTTTGAGCTACAATTGAAGGTACATGTAAAATTTGTAATTGTAATAGCTTTATTAAATAAAGTCTGCAATTATACGACACCTTTCTGTGCAGTTCTAGCTCTTCTCAATGGCTCAGCTTCTTGATCCTTCTCAAGATCACTTTCCGGTGAAAATTCATGATCACTCTTGAAAAGTAGCGATCCTTCACTCTCTATATCCTCTTCTTCTTCCTCCTCTTCCTCGTTTTCATTTTCTTCGTCGCTACTCGAACCCGAAGAACTCTGCCATGGATTTGATTCATTAAATTTAGTCAACATATTTTTCTTTTTTCTTTTCCTACGTTTTTTCTTAGACTTCTTTTCTTTCTCTATCTCTTTAACTACACTTTCTTCTTCGCTTTCAGGCTGGAAAAATTACAATAATTATACAATACATTGACATCAACCGAAATTTGTATAAAATGGAAATGTACCTTTTGCTTCTTTCGTTTTTTCTTTTCTACAGAATCTTTTTTCTCCTTCTTCTCTTTCTTCTCTTTACCGTCCTTCCTTTCGCTTAAGGGTACTTCTTCCAACTTCAGCTGCGCTTCTTTAATTTTCAATTGCGCTATTCTTCTAGATTGTCTTACAGGCGTTTCGTCTTGTATTACTCCTGATTCTGGTTCAGGCTCAATATCTCTTCCCACTTCAAGACCCAAAACCATTTTTCCTGTGAACAAGTTTTAAACACATAATAAATGGATGTTTGTAGAAAATTTAATACAATAAAAATTTAGGAACTCACTTTTCTTTCTCTTCTTTTGTGAAACCGGTGTCATATTCAAAGGATCAGTATTAGTTTGGCTTTCATCGATCTGGACCTCCGGAGTTTCCTCGATCTGAACTTCAGGTGTTTCATCCGTTTGGCCCTCATGAGTTTCATCGACTCGAACCTCCGGAGTTTCATCAACCTGAACCTCAGACGACTCCTCGATTTGAACCTCAGGCGTTTCATCGATCTGAATCTCAGGCGACACATCAGAAACCTGATTACCCTGAAATTCAGGATTTTTCGCCCGATTGGAACGATTGTTTCCTTTCACACCGCGTCTTCGTCTTCCTCTGGGAGGGCGTCCTCTGCCTTTCCTATCAGTTGTGGTCAAATTAGTAGCAGCCTGATCGTCGCTGGCATCTTTAACTTCTTTTGGTTTCTGTTTTTTAGGACTCTTTACAGCCTCGTCGTCTGAACTTATGGTTACAACACGACTTTCTTCTATAGATTTCCGTAACTGTTTGTCAACCATACGTCTTGCACGAAGTCTCATTCTTTTCCCTCCCATAGATTCTTCGTTTGGTTTCACTGCTGTGTCATCTGGGTTCGATTCGTGGGTGCTGTTGCGTCGTTTGCGAGATATTTTAGAGGAAGGTTCAGTGGAATCTAACTTCCATCCACCATAAATTAATTCAGACACAGGTTTAACTCGTAAGGATATTTTAGGTGGGGTGGTGTTAATTTGTTCATTGTTGTCTGCCTTTTTTGAACCTTCGTCGTCGGTGCAAGCTAGAGGATCCATCTCTTCAGAAGCTAAGCCAAATAAATTATTGTCCGCGTCCATGGAATCATCGGATATCAGAGAAACCGTTTTTATCTCAACGCTTTGAATTTCTGAACTTGCTTTCTTTTCGTTGATTTCAGTATTTTTGCGTTCTACTTGAGTCAATATATTATTTAGCACATTAGCTACTGCGTGACCCTCGTCTTTCGTTGGTGCAGTACTATTTGATATTGGGTTGTCCTTTGTCTCAGTTTCATTTGCCACTTCTGTTTGTTTAACATTATCCAAATTTTTATCTGATTGTACTTTGGAATTTGCTAAATCTTCTAGTATCTGTTCGTTGGATTCTATACATGGAGGTTTAGATTTCAGTGGAGGAACATCTTGAGTATCGGAAACATCACTGACTCTTTTACTAGCTTCTTTTTTACAATCATTTGTTACATTTACTGGTTCCAGTGTTGCTTCTTGTCCACTATTTGCTGAACTATCACTTTTACTTGATACAGTATTTTCAGAAAGAGATTCTATTGCTTTATTTGTAATGTGAAGTGGTTCTTTATGATTCTCATGATTATCTGTAATATTTTCTGATTTTTCAGATATACAATTTACAAATTGCAAGCTATCCACAGGTTTGAAATTCTCTGATGCTATTGAAATATTATTTTTATGAATTTCTGTTTTCTCTACATTTACAGTTATACTGTCACTTTTTAGTGGTAAGTTGCTTGATACTAAGTGCATGAACATGTTACTTTCTTCTTTATTCAAACTTTTCTCTTCCTGCAAGTTTGTATCAAATTTCTTTTCTCTATCACCATGTTCAAAGGATTTCTTGGGTTTGTTGCTAGTTTCAGTGATTAGAAGTTCTTCTGTAACATGTCTTACTTCTTCATTTTTGACAAATTTAACATCATTATCTAAGCTTAGCAATTTTTCTTGTATGGACTTTGATGGTTCTGCTTTTAAATCTTCAGGAATTACTTCATTATCAAGCTTAACACCGTCTTTCGTTTGTTTAGAAATTACAATCTCATTCATTGAATCTATTTTACAATCACTTTTTTCCACAGGAACTATGTCCACCACTTTTTCTGAAACTTTATCTGCACTTTCCTTTTCTCCTTCTTTTACTATATTTACTAAATTGTTTGCTTTATTTAATCCCAAGTTTATGAATTCTTTGTTCATTGGATTTATTTCAGAAGAAACTAATGCTTCTTTTTCTGCCAATTTTACATTATTTTCCTCAGAGTCAACGTGTTCCTCTTTATCCACAGATATTTTTTCACTGAAGTCATGCTGAACAAAATCATGCTCTTCTTTAGGTATTTCTTCGTTTGTTATCTTCTCCTGTTTTTGTTCTGTTTTTTCCATTATACTTTCAATGCTATGTAGTGTCGATTCTGTCTGCTTCTCAGTGGGTACATCTTGCACTTCGTTAGATAATACCTTATTTTTTGTACTCAGTCTTTCTTCATTTTTCTTTTCATTTTGTTCAGTATCGGTCATTGTTTCTTCTGAATTACTGGAGAAGTTGCTCCTGTTTTCAGCCGACTCTAATGTTTCAAAAGCATCATTACTATCATTGGAATCACTACTTTCATAATTTGCAACTAAGCATGGCTTAATTTTATGTTCTTGTGAATCGACAGGCTTTGTCTCCGTGCACTTTTCTTGCTCAATTTCTGATTCGGTATCATTACTTTCTACCTTCGAATTGCTCTCTAAATCGCTACTAACTATTGTTTGCTTTTGATTCTCTTCATTCTTATCTTGAATACATTTTGTAGTGTCTTCATGCTGACTCGTGTTATCCTCTTTATCCTGTCCAGGTGTATAATTTTCTGAAGTTGTAGGTTCAATTGTAACATTAGTTTCTTGTTGACTATCTACAAAATTAACTGCCTCTGTTTTTTCTTTCTCACAACTAATAGTTTCTGCAGATTGTGATTGTAATTTTGAAGCATCATTCTCATTAGATGATGTTTCATTTAAACATGCTTTTTCTTCATACGATTTAGAAGGCTGGTTATCTTTCAATGACTTATAATCAATAATTACATCCTTATTCAAATCTTGATCAGTACAGGAACTTTGTTCGACCAATATTGCAGTTTGGACCGCATTAGATTCTTTCGTAGAGTCAACTATATTAGATTTGGATGAATTAGAAATATTTGTGTCAGGTACTGTTTCTGGTAATATATCATAAGTAGGACAGTCATCTTTCACGGATGATTTTTCAAAACTTAATTCAACACTATCGTGCGATAAAACGTCTTGTCGAATGCAGGAATCATCTGAACTACTTATTGTAGGAACTAACGTATCTTTGTTACATTTTTCAACAGATTCAGAACTGCTAACAGTAGAATTGTCAATGGAATCTAATTTTGTGTTAACATCAGGCACAGAGTTTTTGATAAATGGGTCAGTGGATATTTTCTCTTTTCTTATTTCAGAATCTTCTGAAACTTCATTTTGTATATTGACTTCTTCACTGTTTTCATTACAATTAACGTGCAGCGATTCAGCATCAGCACCTACCAGATTCTTTGTATTTTTATTATCAGATTCTATTAACGGTTCCTTTTGATTTTGACATACTGGATCAACATCGCTTTCATTATTTTCTTTACAGCTTGTAATGGAAGGATCAAATGGTACTTTTTGTGAAACGTATTCTATCTCTTCTCCTACTGAATTGTTTGCTTCTTGATCGACAGAACATTCTGTTTCACTTGCATGGTCTGATTCAGTAAAATTATTCTTCTGCAAATTCTGTGTACCAGACGATGAACATGAGCTTTTAGGAGATACTGAATCAACTTCCATTTCACTTTCCTTAAATGACGATACTTCAGGAGATTTACAATAAGCTTCAGCTTCGGAACAAGGAACCGAGATGTTTGTATGTTTTATCGTATCACTTTCAGATTCCTTATTTTGTTCTTCAAATGTACTGCATTCTTGTTTTAATGTTGTACACGGTGTTGACTCAATGGGTAAATTGACCTGAATTTCTGACGGTGTTATAACTGCACTTTCCAGCTTCATATCTGCATCCCTTTTAATTAAATCATTAGTACTGTGTGGTTGTGAAATTGTATCTAATGCTTCTGTTTCTTCAGATTTCGTGTACTCCTTTGTTGCAGTTTCAGTACTGGAAATAGAATCTTGTACGTCAGCGGTGCAAGACGTTAAATTTTCGTCAATGTCCGCTTTTGATTCTGATGTAATTACATTCGTTTCGGTCTCTAGCGATTCACAAGATTGCTCCAAAGAATATTTTGAAGAAACAGTTGGTTCCCAGGAATTAGTTGCTCCTTCAATTTCCTCTAATTTATTTTTATTATCGTCTTCACAAAGTGGATTGGTAGCTTTGCGCGTGTACAAATTGACTTTTAATGAGTTGTTATTTGTCTGAGTCACGTCAAAATCTTCTGTTCTGTACGAGGTAACCATATCTTCTGCAGATTTGGAAGAAGATACACATTCGTACTGCAACGTATCTGATTTAGATTCTATACTTGTTGAAACTGTGTGGTCGGATTGCGACTCAAACATTTCTGACTTTGAAGTGTATGAAATACAATTGGGACCAAAAAAAAATCTCGGTGGCGACGAAGTTAATGGTTTACATTCATTGTCCACTTTTTCTGAAGTAACTGTCTCTTGTAAAGTTGTACTATCTGTGTCACAAACATTTTGTACAATTGGTTTATCATTCAATGAATGAGTTGTAGTCTCTGTACAAGATTCAAACGTTTCTGAAGTATCTGCCTGACACGATGATATAGAGGAATCACATTGCACGGAGTCGTGATCCACAGGACTTTGTTTCTGTTTCGTAGAACTTTCTCCCACGTCTTCCTGAAGGTTTTCTGATTTCAGATTGCTTTGCTGTGATGTTACGTCTTCGGTATTTATAGTATTTCCATCTATTTTAATATCTTGATTTTTACTAGAAGAATCTTCACATTCAATTTTGTTTCTTTTTTGTGATATGTCTTCTTTGTTTGATATGATGCTGCTGTCGCATTCTGGTTTCTCTTCTGGTTTTCCGACATCCCATCTCGATAGCCTTTTGACGGAACTACTCGAATTTTTCGGTATTATCTGAATACCTAATGTCGGCTTAAATTTTGGCTTTTCTTGTACGGAACCTACAATTTGAAAATTACTTTTTACATTAGAGTTAGACTGAGGATAATTTCTGTTTAACTTTATAGCACCTTTACTCTTTACTAATGATTCGGCAGATACTTCATTTATAAGGCTACCTTCGCTGAAACTTTTATTTGTCGATAAAGATGAAGTAGCAGAATCAACTTCATTTTTTGATTCATTGCTTTCTTTATTGTCAGCTGATGTACTGTCTCCAGGATTTCCTGTTTGACACTCCTCTCCGGAACCTTCCCCATAAAAAAAAATTATGGGTTCTTCTACAGCTTCTCCAAGACCAGGATTCACAGCATCGCAATCGCTGCCAGATCCTTCGCCTTGAATCATCATCACCGGTTCCTCGATGGCTTCGCCAATTTCGTCTCTCCAATTAGTACTCATCATTGGCCTTTTGTCGATGGATCCTCGAATCGGTATCACATCTGCCCTTATTCTCTTTAACATGTCGTACTGAAGGTCATCTCCTTCTAACGTGCGTTTCACCGGTGTTGTGTTCATTCTTAAAGCAGTCATTTTGCTTGGGTCAGGAAGTATTGTGTAATTAGGTAATCTGTGATCTTCTTTATTAGGTATTCTTGCAGCATTATGATATGGTGCAGATGACATGTCATAACTCGGAAATGACAATTGTCTTTTACTTAAATCAGCTACCATTGCATGATTACGCATCATCACAGCCCGGGCATCATATGGTAAGTTTGTGACTTCTGGTTTATTTAATTTCTTCGTGCTAAGATCCATTTCTCTATGCTGAAAATCTTGTGTTCTGTAGCCAGACGAAAGTATGTCAATAGGTTTGTTAAATTTTCGACTAGATAAATCAATTCCAGAGAAATCCATCGGCTTCTTTTGTTCGTTAGTACTTTCCCAGCCTCTGGGTGATGTAGATAGATCCATACCCCTATGCTCCTTGAGCGCATTGGCCTTTTCCATTTGATTTCTTGCACAGAAATCTTGAGGTAATCTATCATCGTCTTCGTTTGTCGAATTTCCCACGATACTACCTGATCTAGCAAGATTTTTTGCTATTTTCTCTAATGATTTTGTTCCCATTGGTTTTTCAAGTTTTTCTGATTGTATTCGCACAAGATTTGCAGCCAATTGATCTATCGGCTTAACGGACAGTTTATGAACTGGTTGCAATTCTGCAGATGGAAAAGAAAAATTATTTTTACTAGGTAATTTGTCCAATGGTTTCAGCGTTTGATCCATCGATTCTTCGTGCTTTTTTGTGATGTTCAATGCGGTTATTCCAGTTACCACTTTTTCTTCGTGTATTTGTTTCAATTCAGAAACATTTACTAGCTTAAGAGGAGACGTAATAACGGATGTTTCAATCGATTTAAGAGGCACTGATTCTTCAGAATTAATTTTTACATTATTTACCTCAGTATGTTCTTTAGACTTGGGTGTTTCTATGGATTTAGGATCAGATACAATAGCAGAAACTGATGTTTCTGGAACTGTATCTGTTTTCTTTTTGCTAGATGTAAATGTTTCATTTTCTGACAGTGCATCAACCTTGCCATTTAATGTTTTTGAAGATGCTGACATTAAAGGAAGTGCCTTCATAGAATTTGATTCTGACTCCTCATTTTGTATTGTTTCTTGGGAATCATCTTCTTCTGTATTTTGTTTAGAACTTTCGTCATTTGATACATCATCATCTCCTTCCATGTCATCTTCAATATTATCATCTTCATTAAAATCATCTTGTTCTTGTTCCTGTTCATCTTCAAAATCTTCACCCCCATGCTTATCTAATTCTTTGTCACACAAATCTTCAGTGTGAATACCATTTTCTTGTACAACTTCATCTTCCAAACTTGGTGATGTTGTAATTTGTCCTGTATCAATAATAGGTTTCTCAGAGATTTCTAAACTATTACTATCCTCATTAATTGGAATAGCACCAACTTCCCCATTTGTTAAAGTGTTTATTAAATCAACAACACCATCCCGATCTCTAATAACATAACAGAAATAAAGATTTATTTATCTGTATCAAATCAAAAAAGTTAATATAGATGTTAGAGACTTACTTAGCTACCAGTTCCCAGTTTTCTTCATCTAAATCTTCTCTATAAACCCTTATATTGCACTCATCGTCCAGCTGACACCAATATGCTAAACCAGATTTATCTCTTCCTAGAGGTTCCACGCGTAATTCATTTGCCGCTAATTTATTCACTTCATTTTTAAATTTTTGATTTAAGTCAAATTGTGTTTCTAGAAGAACCTGGAATAAAATAGACTTGTAAAGTAAAATTATTAAACTGGACACATAACTTTTAAAGCATGAATTAATGTTCTTTATGAAACAATGAAATAATTGTATTTATACTTTAAGTAGACGTAGCTTGACAGCAATACGAGCTTTCTTATAACCAAAACGTTCAAGTTCCCATCCATCTTGATTGGAGTATGAGTGGCAGAATTTAACCAGTGCTCGTTCCCACTTTTCTGGTGATACAGTTTTACGGGTCTTACGCAACAATTTGATGTGTAGGTCTACTAATTGTTGAGGTACTAAAAACAAACAAATAAATGTAAACATAAGTGAAAATCTGTATGTCAAAAAAAAAAGGTAGAAGTAGAAAAAATCTCAGGTTGATGCTGTTTCTCTGAATTTTTAATTCCATGGAATTTCAGTTAATAAATATTATTATATACTATATTTTACAACTTTTTATTATTATAACATAATTTGCATATTGTTCTTAAGAATATAAATTTTTAATAAATTCCAACAAGATTTACTGACTTTTATAATCAATTTACTAGCATCAAGTACAAAATCTTTAATAAATATATTCAGGATGATAACACTGTGTAAAGTACATGGTTATTGTACATGATGTACCATGTATAACTATGATGTGCTTAAGTTTATTATTATGTGATAGTATTACAATATATTTATATTTTTAAATTAGTACTTCAAAGAACAAGCAAGATGTAAAGGATAAAATATATAGAAAAAATGTAAAAACAATGCTAATAATTGATTGTAATTTAAATTACAATTATAATAACTAAATTATAAATGTTTTGTACATATTATTATATTCCTGAATATTAGTAGTTCAGTGCACAAATATTGAAGGTTCACCTTTAATGATTTCAAAAGAAAGAAATTTCAAGATTCAGTGGTACTTTATATTATATTAAATAAATGCTTATTGCATTGTGTTTATTGCTTAACACATCCATAATACAACTATAACAAAGTATTTAATTAGCAATTCAATTAAGACCTGTAACATTATAAATTTGCAGATTTACATACTAGTAATTAAAAGAATAGATTAAGGGACATACAATAAACATAAATAAACAAAAATCTCAAATTATCAAGTCTTCAAATTTTCAAATGCCTAAGTTTCAAATTTACAAATCTTTAAACTTCCGATCAATGTATACTGTCAGTAAATAACGTCAATAAACTGAAATACTGATAATATACATTGATCGTTTGAAGTCTCCATAAAAGTTCACTGCACGATTCGTAAATCATAATCACGTGTAAGCGACATTGACAACAAGGGAGGTGGCAGCACGGGAGAAAATAACAACAGTGGACATCAAATTGAACCAAGTTGTCAATAATACCATTACTGGAGCAAAGTAACAAAACTCATCCTGAAATCATTCCCAAATATTCAAAATTACTTCACAACAACTATTATCATAAAATATTAATCCGATTAAAAAAGCAAAAGAACAAAAGATCCATTAAAACAACGTTCGATCTAATTCAAAAAAGGGACGAAACAATTACGTACCCCGTATCATCGGCTAAACATAACAACTATATAAAAATTGTTGAAAATAAAAAGTAAAAATGAATTGATACTTAATTCGGATGAAAAACGCGTTGAAACGTAAAAGAAAAGCAATAGCACACACGAGACTTTTGGCCTCGCGGGGGCGGGTCAGTCATTCTCTCTCTTCTACACACATACACATACACATTTCAAGTTTACTTACCCTCCTGCGTGTTCTCGAGCATCTCTTGAAGGCGCGCGATATCAGGATAAACGATGCCGCAGGACTTGCCGAAGCACTCGAGGAACGAGCAAATTACCGCGAAATTTGGGTCACTCGCGCAAGAGGCTTCGTTATCGGACGCCATTTTTCCGCCGCTTCTCTCTGGGCCCGTCGCCGCTACGCGATATACTACGCTAGGCGACCTAACAACTCGTATCGCATTTTCGTCGAATTAGTTTCGATCGTCACCGCCGAACGCACCCTCAAACTTAAACGTTCGAAAAAGTTGGAGCTCCAAGAAGTTCGTACCTCGTTTCCCGCTTCACTGTTTTTCGTTACCTTGATGCTCTACCTGCTACCCACACCCGCGTCACAAAACCACAACGAACACGCGCGTCCGAGAGACAACGAAAACACACTATTGTCGATTCAACATATACTCTGTATCACTTTTGTTCGAACAATCCATGAAAGAGAATATTATTTTATACGCTTGTTCGTTCACTTTGCACTTTTGCACATATCACCGTGCTTACCACACTAACACAGGCGAAGATCGTTGCGCCTCTCGAGCTGTGTATATGTACAATGTGTGTGCACGCGCGCGCGCGCGCGCGCACCTTCGAGCGCAATAATAACGATGCACGTAATCGCAGGGTAATCTCGCCTTTTCCAGCGGACACGTTACTCGTAATCCGTCGATTCCGTATCGACGCGAATCGTTAACATCGATTCGATGGGTATATCGATCGGACAGAGACAATAAGCACCACCGCGACAACGATGAAAACAGCCCCCTTCTTTGTAGCGCAGCGCACTGGACATCGCCTTCGGGTTCGGGCTACGAAACATTTGGAGGGTTCTCAACTTGTAGCGTGGCCACCTATGCATCTACCGGGCGTTAAGCCGCGTTTATGAGGATATTCTTTGAGAGAACTTTTCTGCACTGTGTTCACAGTGGTAGGTACATATTTTACCGTCGTGTAAATATATGCAACTATTGTTCTTTTTTTAGAAGATGTTTTTATACCTATCATTTATCCAAAATAGAAATTTTATTGAATAAAAATTGAAATGATTATATTCAGTATTTTAACAATTGAGTTGTTAGAAGCTTCATATAGAAGCTAAAAAAAAATATGTTCTTTATGGGTGTAATGGCGGAAATTTGATATTGAACGCGCGCTGAAGAACCTAACCTATAATAAATGTAATCGAGTACCGGCGATTGATAATAATTATGATTGAGTGATCGTTTTTCTGTCGCACTGTTGCATTTAACAAATATTAATACTGAAAGAAATATACATAATTTGTTCAGCCATTAATTAATAATATTCCATCTTGTAGTCCTCATTTTATAGAATTACAAAACTGATTATATCATACATTTAAAATTATTGTTGACAACATTTTTCTTGTATGCCCTATATGTTTTATGAATGATCAGACCTCTTTCGCGCAGCTCGACTGAGTACAAAACTTAAAAAGATACCTTACCTGTATTGCTTCCCTATTGCCACATATACACGGTGGATAATAATATATGAACACTAAGAGAATAAAATAATGTGAAATCAGAACAAAGTTTTCCAAACATTAGAACTTCGGAATTTTTTAATCTCGGAATTTTGGGACCTTGAAATTTTGTGACCGTGAAATTCCGAAGTTTTGGAATTTTTAAAGTTTCAAACTTTACTACTTTAGAACTTTGAAATCTTCAAATTTGAGAATTTGGTAAAATAATACATTACAGATGAGTTGATCGCAAAAACATGACCGATTTCAATAGTAAATCTTAGTTTGTAAAAATTTTATGTAAGAAACATCAAAGATCACTAGGTATATGTGTTTTGCATTATAATCGCCCTTAATGCGCATGTGCGTTACTCTTAGTTACAGATCTTGTCAGAACCAATCAGAGTTTACATGCGCAGAAAGAACGAAAACTCGTCATTTAAGAAGTATAATCATTCATGATAGACTATAGATGCCTTTACTTTAAAACAGATAATATTTACACTCAGAATAATACTTTAAGAATAACATATTAATCTGATTTTGCCAAGTGAATACTAGTAATATTTCCATTAACACCATTATGTTATTTTAAACAAATTTTATTAATCATTTCATATGCATTCTTTTTAGTAACCTTTCCATACTTTTTTTTTATCTTTGCAAATTTAGTTTTATTTTTTCAATGAAATAGTAAAAAATTGTTTTGCAAAATAGCCACTATTAATTATGATAAGAATAATTAATACGTCTTCAAATGTATAGTATCATTATTGCATTTGTTTTTTTTCCTATTTCCTATTTCAAATTTAAATTCATTCATGCTTTGTCAATTATTTCCATATTAATTTTTGATGAGTCAATCGTACAGTATCATTCAATTAATACTTTCGTTCAAACTAAGTCATTTCGCTTTATAAAATTATTAAAAATGTTCTAATAGGTTAGAAAAATATCATATTTCCATTTCTAAAATTTAAGACATATTTGCAACATAAATTGCATTTAAAACACGTGTCACATATGCAAAAAGTTTGTGCTTGTATCCGTTACTGTATATTTTGTTTATATTCATATTTTACATCTCGTGAAAATTCTACTAAATATGTAAATTAACGATTTCTATGTTCGTTCAGTTTGTAAGTTTATCTAATATATTTTCGCGTGTCGATTGTTTTTGAAGAGCTTCGAAAGCGTGTATTTTAAGGCGCTCTTGCTCAATGACGTAGTTCTGCGTAGTTTCGTGGAATTTCGAATAGCGGGAGTAACGATTCGATCGATCAGGAGTCGAGTAAAGGTAGCGACTGGTGTTTTCTGTTCTTACCGTTCCCGTGAACACTCGCGAATGTTAGGAATCATAACGACAAACGTTAATTAATGAACACACACTCATTACGATTTTCATACTGTTTATGTATAGAAGGCTTTACGTGGCCTCCTACACTATACATCAAACACAATAAACATGCCGACGTTCCACGACAGGCAGAGATTCTGCGACTACTGCGATCGATCGCGAGAACCAGAAACACGAGCGAGCGTATACCTATATGCAATGTAGATACGAGACTCCTTATCGACATCATTATGTTACATGTGAATTATACGATTGTACATTTCATTGTATATACTGTTGACTTGTTTCTACCCTTCTTGATAACATGTGCTTCCAACGACGTTATTCTCCTTTTTAATGAACGATGAAACGGAAATCCATCGAACAGATCGATAAGCAAAGTTTTTAAAATATGAAACTTCGGGATAGACGGTGCTGCCACAAGGTCTTTCAAATCGATAGCGCGGGAGACGTCTTCGCAGAGTTATGGATTGTGTTTATATTCCGAATAGTTGTGAAAAATTTGATGTTCAATACACTGTATTAAAAAATCATATTAACTACCACTAAACTTACAGCTGCTTAGTATTAAATGAATCAATAAATTACAAATAATTCGTGAAATATAAAATGTTTATTTCTGAATGAAAATTCGTAACTTTGCGTCAACAACTTCTATTATCATATGTATAAACGTTTATATTTACAATATATAATATTAAAAAGATCTTAATAGTATGTAACTTGTTGTCCATAATATTTGACACCGTTCAATCCACCTTTTATGCTTTATACACTGTCGTTTTGTACCTGAGTAAACTACTTTCTTTTTTCTTTTGTCTTCTGTACATGATTCCATTTGTCACGTGTTCTTAAAATTAAAAGTTTTAATTGTTGGGACTGTATATATGTATATAGCACCACGTAGACCACGTCAAATAAAAAATTGTTTGTATTTTTGAAACAGACATTTCAGCTGAACTCACGTATTCGTTTCATAGATTATTAAAAAAATATTTGGAATGAAATTGTCTTGTCTGTATGAAAATGTACAAAGAGACGATATAGTTATTCAAACAACGCAATATTTATCCTTTAAGTAAATTTTATTTCGTATCACTAAAAAGTTTATTTGATTAATAAATTATTTGCTTTCCACATTTTGTGCTCTAAATATATTGTTCATAAAAAATATTTCTTTCATTGATTCAACAGCAAAAATTGTTTGTTGCCAGAGCATATCTAATTTTGAATCATTTTTTAGTTTACAGGAAATATACATTATAAACTCCTATTTATCAAATATTATCAATGTGATGTTCTATAAAATACAAGTACTTAAGAAATAGCTGTTCATTGTTTACAGTTTTATTCCTGAAATTTATTTTTTATTTTTTTTTCATAATTTTAGTTATGTACGGGTGTTTTGTAATTACAATGTGATGTTATGGTATATATAAAAATTCACTATATACAAAATAGATCATGTATAATTTAAAAACATGTTTTTCTGAACTATTATTCATTTTATAATAGCAGACAATATTGATATTGTCTAACAATATGCGTACAATATGAAAATTCTATATTGTTACAAAAGTAAATGAAATACTGTTTACTGATGGTAGTGTATAACATAAAAGCAGCTAAAAAATAATAAATATTAAACTCGTGTAGTATGTTTACATAATTTAATTAACTTGACACGGAAGATTGTTTGGAAAATAGCGATACTGTATGAAAAAGAAGTGATTTATTATACTGTATTATGAAACATTATGTGGAAAGCAAATTGATGCTTTACGTATTTACATTTGTTCGAAAAGAATATGTTTACTGCATAAATTAAATTCATTTTTATGTACGGTACGTAGCTTTTTAAAAAGCATACGCACATTAAATAACATAGGATTGTGTCCTATCAATTTTGTTATAAAAATTAAGAATATTAGTAATCAACGAATCATGTAGACACGTAAAAGTACGCAAAGATTTATAAAGTAAACAAACGGTAATGAGAGTTCCTGTAAGTACTATTACAATGTCTTGTAATGAGATATTGAAAGAAAAAAAAAATATAAAAATACAATTTTCAATAGAGCTTTATAAAGCTGAAAATTGTATACGTAAGAAATTTCGTAGAAAAAGCATAGCTATTCATTAAATGAAGCTTAACACAAGATGCATACTTATACAAAATTACTTAGATGCTCTTTGCGCTGTAATGTTTTTAAGTTGTTGTTTATATATTTCAGCTTCCTCTTCCTTCTTTTGAAGCCGCTTTCGGTACTCAGCGGCTTGTCTTCGCGCTTCTGCCAATTGTCTATTCAACACTGCAATATCCATAACGGGTTCATTATTATCTGTAGTATCATCTTCAGTAATTTCTTCTATTCCATCATCCAACTGCAAAATTATTGACTCTGTCATCTTCGGAGAATTAATGATTTTATTCTGTAAAAGCCATATAATATTAATGTATTTAATACCGTAAATAAATAGGTACTTGTTAATATTTTTACTTGACATATAACTTTTTACCTCTGATGCAGAAATTATGTTTTTGGACTGTGTGAGCGTTGACACGGACGAAGTATTAGAAATAGATGAGATGTATAATTTTCCAGCCTTATTATCCACAGAAGACCTTTTCAATATATTGGGCCCTCTAGATGGAAGCGTAGGCGTATTGTGATTTAAAATTTGATCTGCTCTTATTGCTATCACTTTTCTTGGAGGTCCTTTCTTTCCAGTCACATGAAGTCGTTTCATTCCTATCGAAGTATTTCTTGTTAAGTTTAGAGCAAGTTTACCAGCTTCTATAACAATTAATTAATTGTTATAATAACTTGTACGTAAATCGTGAAGTTTATTTTTTGCAAGTATTTCATACCAGTTAAAACGACCGTTCTTCCACTTTCCATAGCATTTTCCACTATTGACGAATCATTATCTACAGGTATCATCGTAATTCCATGAGCTTCTAGTAACCTAAATTGTTTGTTTATTCCTCCAACAGTTGTGACATCTTTACGTTTTTTATTGTTGTTAACATTACTCGTATCAGTGACTTCTTCTATGTTTTCAATTTCTTTTTCTTGGGCAACTTCAGCATTTGGTCCAACATGAATTTGTTGAAAAATCATTCGTGGCTTTTTCCCCATTTGTACTAAACATTTATGAAAAATGAATAACGCAGATCCATATTTTTACTTATATTATAATACAAGAAGCAAGCACACATACCTTGTGTAATTTTTCTTCTTTGTTGTGTTTCTTGTTCCGGTAATTCAAACTTTTGTTCTGCTTCTTCCCTTTCAGATTCTAATTGTATTAAATTATGAGTTGCTACTTCAAGTTCTGCAGAATTTACTTGATTTTGTTGATGAGCCCTGGCACCTACAATCTCTCTTTCTTGTTGCAATATATCTACCAAATCTAATCTATCATGTTCCAATGCAAGACTGATTGGTGTTTTGTCAAATTTACTAGTGGCATTTGCATCTGCTCCATGCTCTAACAAGACATGCATTACTTCAACATGCTCTCGTTCCACTGCCCAGTGTAAAGGTGTCATTTTTAACTGTAAACATATTTCCTATTGAATATGTTATACAAGAATATTCTTTATACAAACAGAAAGGATAATTGTAACAGAAGTACACACTTTTAACATTATATAGAACCATGAAAATATTTCAACCATATCAATAATATTTTGGTTTTTATAAAACATTAAAAGTGCTTACTTCTTATACAGTAATTCTATATAATAATTACCATATCTCTACTATCAACGTCTGCTCCATAATTAAGAAGTAATTGTGCCATCTGATGATGGCCTTCATATGCAGCCATATGTAAAGGTGTTCTATCTACTTTTGTTCTTGCGTCTCTTGAAATTCCTGCCCTAAGTAAAACCTCTGCAGTTTCTGTATGATTATTTTGTGCAGCAAAATGTAACGCACTTGTACCCAGCTAATAAAAAGAAATTGTTATATAATTGTTTTAATAACCGTGTAGATGAATTATTAAAATATGTACCCAGTCAGTAGTAAAGGGTGCACCTCTACACATAAGGTCACGGACACTATCTGTATCTCCATACTTTGCGCTAAACAGTAACTGTTTTCCTAATTCCACTATCGATAAGGCATCTTGAGATCTTGCGCGATGAGAAACATCGCAGGAAAGAATTTCAACCTACAAAATATCTATAGATTAAATAACACACTTTAAAACACAGCGATGCATATTACACTTTCATGAATGGTACATACAGGAATGAGAGTGTCCGAATCCAGACCCTCAATATCATTGGTGCAAATACTTTCAGCTTGCATTTTTGTGTAACTAATTCAATCCTCTTCCTTCTGGTGTACACTAAAATCAAATGATCCATAACAATTGATATCATTTGGACTTTTGTTAAAGGAAAAAGGGCTAGCTGTGACCATTCCATTATTTCACTTTGTGTAATTCAGCACTGTCGTTCGACCTTGAGTTGCCGGGAACGAAAGTAGGTCGCAAAATGAAAATTTGACTTTAATTCGACGGAATTAACGCTATTTACTCGTTTTTGCCTACTTGTCCAACAGCGTGGCTTGTATATTTTTCAAAATTTTCTTCTGTACAGGATGTTTTTATTTTGCCATTTCAGATTGTGAGGAACTTCCTGTTCCTGTTCATTAAACGGAAGTCCCATGCCATAGGCCCCGTGTTTTGTGCTCAAAAGCGATTCGAATCGATCGAAAATAGCATTGAAGGAAGATATACTTACGACCATTACATTATTCTTGCTTTTTCGATATTTTTCCCGCAGTTTTCCAACGCACACTCAGTTTGAGGAATTCTTCCTCCCCACAGCCTTCTCGATTTACTGTCTTGGTAAAGTTTCATGAAAATGGCGACACCTTGGCGCCATTCCTAATGCAATTTTATCATTGTTATATATAACTTTTAGCGTTAATATGAGCTTATTTAGTAAATTAAGGTATTTATTGGCTCGAATTATTTAGTTCTTTTCGATATTTCGATCCTTTTTATTGATAATAATAACAAAGAATTATCAAACATGTTAAATAACCTAACGACGTTTAGCGCCACGCCGTGGTACATGCGGAAAGTATCTTGTATTAAATAGGTTAGGTACGAATTAAATTCGTGTAAGACTAGGTTAGACGAAATTTTCTTACAACATTTCAAATATTTAAAGAAAAAGGTTGTAAAGATTGTTAAGCATATTATTAACTATTAAACGACTAAATTATAGTTGATAATTAAATGTATTTTATTAAAGACACAAATTTTAATTGTTAATTGAATAATTTCCTAATTGAGACTGAAGTTTAATTTTTAGTTTAAATGCACTTTTTATTTACATGCGTGTGTCAAGTTGTGAATCATTTTTAATACATAAAATAATTTAGACTATAATACTTTTTAAGTAAATGTATATTTTATTCAATTTTTATTTGTTTATAAGCTCATTTGATTTGCTTGTGATAAGAAATTTTGTAAAAATTTCAGAAAGTAATAATTATGTGTCAATAGGTTAACAGGATTTATTTTCGATGTGTAAGAACATGTATGGTATTGAATTATGTACAATCATTTTCTATTTCCTTTCTTTTTTAATTTGTACTGTTTTGTTACTCTCTCTTTCTAACTCTTGTTTCAGTTTGAGTCTACGTTCTTTCTTCTTGTTCATGTTCTGGTTTTTTCCCCTTCGCTTCGTCTCATAGTTGACCCAGAATTCTAGAGATAACGGAGCAGCAAGGTGCAACAACAATGAATCTTTGTATATGTACCTTTACTACAGGGATGTTATGGAAAAGAATGTGTGATAGAGAATGCGCGGTATAGATACGAGTGAAGGATAATTGATAGTTATCGATTGTTGGTTATGGTTTGTCATCATAACAGATAATAATGGATTCAATTGTTGGCTATTTTGTTTATTCTTGATATATCAATACGCATTTAATTCAGCATCGTCTAAAAATTGATATATAGAGATTTAATTTGGATAATGGTAATTTTATATAGTTTACAATATATCATTTTAAAAAATTTTAAAATTAAAAAATTTTAATCTTCCAAATTTCAAGGTTGCAAAATCGGAAATAATACGAAGTTTCTAGAGGTTAAAAAAAATTCCAAAGTGTTCAAATCTTGAAGTTCGTACCACAGTGTGTTATTTTGTGTAAGTACACATGTTCAATTTTTCATGTTTAGAAAGGAAGTTACAAACAAGTATACGTGTATGCAAATAATTATTTTTTATTCAAGTACATTACAATGCACAGTTCATAAAGCTGGGTCAGAAAGCATCGCATACATTAGAAACTATAGTATCGAGTGCGTGCACTGCCACATCGCGTTAACCATTCCTTATGCCTTATATCGTAATCTAAGGAGGTGGCTGGCCGTACGGTTACGGCGGTAAGCTTGCATGCTTTCAAACAGAGTAGGTTAGAGAGTTCGTGAATTTCTTATGAAGGAAAATGCACGGTTGCTTGTTATCGACGGTGATGACTGAAACTTAGTCGCAAAAGAGTAACAAGTGTCATTGCGAACTTGCGGAACTTCCTGTTGTTAAATATTTGGAGAATTTTCCATTTTGAAATATGGATTATACAGGGTGTCCCATTTTAACCCGCCAAAACTCCTACTATTCTAGAAAATGTTTCAAAATTTCTTATAACTTGAGGGACTAATTGGAACATACATTAGAGGTAAATTATAATTTACATTAGACATTAATTAACAAAATAAAATATATTGTATATTAATTTTAATTTTTTATTTCAGATGGAAAAGAATTATTAATTAATATATTGAAATAAGCTATAAGCCAGCAATGTGATAGTGCAAACTCTACCAAGCATTTTTAGTGAAAAAGTAACAAATAAAAAATAGTATAATTAACAATAATTGTTACAGAAAAAAAGTTTCTATATATTATGATAAATTTAATATATTGCCCTCTTCTATATAATTTTATCTTACAGATCTCGGATTTTTTTGTTCCTTTGACATTTTGAATCTTTCACCAAGAAATGCATTCTTGTAATTCACACGAAGGTAACTAGCAGGAAGAATAAACATTATTTCATTCAACAGCTGTGCTAGTGGAAGTATTAAGAAGCAAGTGAAACAGAAAAGTTATTTCTTCGGCTTAGTTTGACGCTTTTTCCTTTTTTCTTCAGGCCGATACGGCCCTAATTTCCGGCGTACCATAACACCTCGCCACCAAGCTTGAATCTTGACAGTGCTTTTTCGCATTAGTTCTTCCCGTTCCTTTTGTCTTCTCAGCTCCTCTTTCTCCGCTAAACACATATCAATAAACTCTTGATTACGACGATACTGTAACAAAATTGATTTAATTATTTCTCCAGAAAAAGCTGTAAATTATTTTACATTCACGAAACTTCACGTAAATTAAGATAGTCACAATCAGGTTCTTGACACGAGTTATCGATTTCCTAGCAGAATTTCCGCATTGCACGTAGATTCTATACTTACAGGAGCAAATTATTAAGCCTGATTTCCAATAGAATTAACACGACCGACATGCACTAAATATTTAACTAAACGAAATCCGCGATGTCACAAAATACTCTCGCGAGAGATATCCTTATTAAATATTCAAATTTATTTGCCTGAATAATTCTTACTTATTTTATTCGCTTTTTCATCGAACAAACTAAATAAAACAAGAATCTACTGTTTGACGAATTAATGTGACAAAGAGAAATTCGATTAAACGTGACGAAAATAAATATTGAAATAGCAGAGGAAGGTTTCATCTTTGGGGAGAAAAATCGATGTACCTCTTCTTTAAGTTCCTCTAACTCCTTTTGCCGTGATTCTATCTCAATACGTAACTGCCAAATCTCTTTCTCGTACATTTCTTTTTCACGGATGTATCGCTCCTTCCATTCCCTCGCTTGCTTTTTGAATGACTGCCGATTTGGGTGTTGAAGATATTTATTAAAGAGATGTTCTCGAATTTACTTGTTATATGTTCATTAGTTATAGTTACAGGTTCACAAGTTCTTAAATTACGTATCTTTAATTTGTCAAACTTTTTAAATTTGAAAATTTTTAAATTCTCAAATTTTCAAATTCCAAATTTCCCAATTCCAACATCCTCAAATTCCAAATTCCCCAATTCCCACATTCCCAATTCCAAATTCCCCAATTCCAAATTTCCTAATTCCAAATTCCCCAATTCCAAATTCCCCAATTCCCACAA